AAATAGTCACAGGAAATTAGGGTAACCACTGAGAAGAGTATGTGTTCAGTGAGTGTTTGTGAATGAATAAAGATTAGGATAATATAGGTTAGGTCAGGTCAGTTTAATCATTTTTTAACATGTTTATAAATTACAAGCTTTTGTTTGCCCTCTGAGACCACAATTAACAATCAATGTTTAGTCTTATTTTTGGTGTGATCACAAAAATACCTCTATTTTAGAAGTAGACATCTAGAATGTTAATGCAAACCAGCTTTTTTGAGCATCCAGTATATGCTCATGGTTGCTGCAGCCAATGGAAAATATAAGCATGACTAAGGCATTAAAGGTTGTTTATAATATAAGTTTGTTTAGTAAATCAGACTTTGGAAAATATATCAGAGCCAAAACTTAATACCATAAGACTAGGCAAATTATTTAATCTTATGCATAATCAGTTTTATTATGTATAAAGTTGGGGAAATAAGATTTATTTTACAGGATTATTTTGAAAATTAAATGAGATTCTGAAAATGAGTACCTACTAAAGTAATGGTACAGGGAAGCACCGAATAAATGCTGGGTGTTGTCCTGATTGTTCATTCATTTAGTAACTTTTATTGTGCTCTTACTGTATTGTAGCCATCATCATTATTAACATTGTTGTTATTTACTAAATATAATTCTTAACCACAAATAACATATCCAGTGAAGAATATGAGTCTTAAAGCAATTGTAACAATTTTATGACCATATTCATTATTTTATTTGAATATAGAAACTATCATAAGGAATTAAATAAATCTTCAAGGTAAAGACAAAGCAATGTGGAAGTATAGATACAAATTGTTATTCTGACTGGAATATTCAGAAAGGCTTCAAAAAGAAGGTGGTAATTGAGTTTGATTGCAAAAGAGCAGCGGAATTTCAGTGACAAAGAAATGAGAGGAAGGTTAGGATGGAAAAATACCCAAGTCAAAGAACACAAGAACCAAGATGTAAAGAATTCAACAAATATGGAACTGCTGTTGTAAGTGGACAACAGGCAATCATGCTATAAATGAGGAGTACCTCCCATGTGCCAAGCATGGAAGATACACTCTTGAAAATGACTACAATAATTTTTACTTTTTTTCTTTTTTTTTTTTTTGGTGGGGGTCGGGGCATGGAGCTTTGCTTTTATTACCCAGGCTAGAGTGTGATGGGGTAATCTCGGCTCACTCCAGCTTCTGCCTCTCTGGTTCAAGCAATTCTTTTGCCTCAGTTTCCCCAGTAGCTGGGATTGCGGGTGCCTGCAACCACATCCACCTAATTTTTTATAGTTTCAGTAGAGAGAGGGTTTCACTATGTTGGCCAGCCTGGTCTTGAACTCCTGGCCTCAAGTGATCCAGATTATGATAATATTCACTTCCATAGTGCTTATAATACACTGAATGATGTGACCAAGGAAAAATTGGACCCAGATCATAGATGACTTGAATATGGCCTTGAGATGTTTGAATGTTCTTCTATGAATGTTTATAAGGAGGACTTAAGTATTGAAGGCTGTGTTTCAGATAGAGTAACAGACCAACCACCCATATAAAAGTGAGCTACTGCATTGTAGTTGCAGAGAGGCTAACACTGAGAGGTAGTAGTCATCCTGACAAAAATTAGGAAGATGAGAACTAAGATAAAGATAAGTAGTATGAACAAAAGGAATTACTATTTTGTAACAGAGTTGTTAGGATTGGTGAGATATAATAAGGGAAGGAAAGGAGTTGAACGTGATCTTGAGGGCTCTACTCTGGGAGGCTTAAAAGAATGTGTTGTCTGTATTTGTCACAGGGAACCAGAAGAGCCAGTTATGGTCAAGAGTTAGAACATGTTAAGTTTAATAGGCTTTGACACTCAGCAGTGTCTATTAGGCAGTTAGGACTTGGTTTATTTTGTTTGGAAGAGGTCAGAGCTAGCCAAGAGATTTCATAGTCCTTGGTAAAAATATGGTGTGATACCCCTAAAAGGGATGAGTTTGTAAATAGAATGAAAAGAAAATGTTAGAACTTACAAAACAGCTTATTCATAACTTTAGGAGTCATACTACAGATGGTTCTATAGAAACAATCCATTTAGATTTAACAATAAACAAACAGCTCTTTGTTATGAGGGGAGGAGACTATTCAAATGATGTGCTCCTTCTCATTTACATGCTATTTCAGAATGTCGTGGTTTCTTCATATATACCTAGAATTTTCATGAGCAGTGAGGTGGATGAATAGAGATTGTTTCTGTTCCCAGAAAGTAGCTTTGGAGGATGCTGAAATTATGCACGAATTGAACCACACCGCAAAGATTCACCGTAAACCTGAGACAGCTAAAATGTCAGGGGCTGCCACTTGCATAGGCCTCTTAGAAGGCACTAAAAGGAACCATAGACATGTTTGTGGTCAAGTGTGTTTGCAAATGTTAGTTATTTAAACTTTCATCCATTCATACTTCTGTCTCTATTCAGATTTCACCTCCCCTCTCCTTCCCTTCTTATTGGGTAGTTCTGAACAGGCCACAGCCAATGTTTTTTGGGGAAGTTGAAGTAATACATTTAGTTTAGGCTTACTGGAACATATGTCTACATTTTTTAACAAAGCAGCTTTATTGAAGTAAAATTGACCTATGGAAACCTGCATATATATTTACAACTTGATGAATTTGGATGTAGGCATACCCTCATGAAACTGTCACCACAATTAAGGTAACAGACAAATCCATCACCTCAAAAAGGTTGGTCTGTGGCCTTTTTGTTGTTGATAATGTTGTTTTAAGACCACTTAACATGAGATATGTCCTCTGAATACATTTTTAAGTGTACAACACAGTGTTATTAACTATAGGCATTATGTTGTACAGCTTTTCTCTGGAGCTTATTTTGCATAACTAAAACTTCACTGCCATTGAATAACAACTTTGCATTCCCTGACAGCCACCAGTATACTCTGCTTCCATGAGGTTGACTATTTTGAGTACCTCATGTAAATGGAGTGTCTGTCGTGGAACTGGCTTATTTCACTTAGCATATTGTTCTCTAGGCTCATTCATTTTGTTGCGGATGGCAGAGTTTCCATCTTTTTTAAGGTTGAATAATATTTTTAGTCTCTCTGTGTATTGTTGGTATTGCTGGTCACCCAGTTTTTGGCAGAAATGCGGCATATTTTATTGCATTGTCATGATAATGTGTGCATTTAAATTAACATAGGAACTGATTTCACTCAGAAGACTGAGCCCCAGTATCATTTTTTCTTTCAGACTCAAAAGTTTATTTTTATAGAGAAATAAACAAAAGCTAATACATCACCTTTCTTTGTTTAATTGGTGCAATTGTTTCTTATACAAAAAATAATAATCGTAGATAACATTTACTAAATGCTTATCACTTTTAGCTACTTTCAACTACATTTTATAGTGAGAAAACAGACATAGAGAAGTTAAATAATTTTCCCAACGCTAAACAACTTGTATGTGGCAGATTTGGAATCCAAAGCCAGTGACTCAGGCTCCCATCATTAACTTAAACCACCAGGGAACTCTGAATCTCTGTCTCTGAGTTAGAAGCCAAAAGTCCCTGAGTATAAAATCCTTGGGGTTTTAGACAAACAATTAACTTCTAATGATCCTCAGGATTCTCATCAAATAAATGAAGGTGGACTAAAACATAATGTTGGTAACTTTGGGGTGATCTCATGACCCTTTGAGAAAGCTGTGATCCCTTTCTATGACATAGAATAGATGTAATTATGTAATTAACAAACATCCTTGGATACCCTGAAACCAGTATCTTAGCCCCAGGTTAAAATCCTCTGGACTAGAAAATATTTAAATTTCTTAAAAATATAATATTCTGCTACCTTAAGAAGAGCTGACTTCTAGTTTATTCGTGACTTTTTTAAAGAGGACAAGAGATTACCATTACAGTGACCTATTAAATGATTTTCATTATATGCCTTATTGGCAGGTTGGTTTGTGTTGTATTCTTTTCTGTAACTGCATTTTCTGAATGCTGCTGACATCTTTCACTTGAAGACATTTTTTATTAGAAGAAAATTGTTAGATGCATCTGGATTAAACTACTCTGAAGACGTTATGGTGTTTACCTGAAGCTATAAAATAATTTATGTTTTCCCAGTAAATGAGATCTGAAGAACAACCCAAGTGTCAATAGCAAAATCAATTTGAAAAGGATCTACTATGAAATTAGGTTTCTCAAATAAAATATAGTTGAACAAGAGAGCATTCACTCTGTCTTCCTTCTTATGGGGATACTTTGCATTAGAATGTAAAAATGATGGCTGTTTTGAAGCCGTAAACTTAATACGTATCAAACTTCATGGCTTTCAAGATCAAAGGATTAAGTTTCAATTTAAATGTATGGATTTTGTGTTAAAGAAACAAAGTATCTTACTAGAAAACAGAACAAGAAACATTTTGTGTATTCTTTCTATGTCACTTAAGGAAATTGCAAAAGCATCCATTTGAAATTGTATAAGATTTAGTATACACAATCAGGAAAGTACTCTGTATAGATTTTTAAAAATGTATTAGTATTATTCTGCCCTTGAGCCAAAATGCTTAATAATTTGGTTTTTTTAATGTAAAATTTGGTTGAAAGATTGTTCTTATTGTTGAATTTCAACATGATTGCAAATTAAATGATGCAAAACTCAATAAAGTAAAATACGCAAAAGAGCAATTAACATGTTATCTCAGTAAGTATGTAGAATAATGAGAGAACACACTGTTCTACACTGTAGCATGTAATTAAGATATAGTCATAAATCAGGAAAATATTATATCTTGTTTAGGTGCACAGGTGGCTTTTAGAAAGATTGATTAGCTCCTCTTTCCCCCTTGAGATGTGAGTTCATAGTTATTCCTGCAAAATTAAACAGAATATTTTCTCATACTTCCTACAGTAGGTATGCTTCAATGCAAACAGTCTGATGGAGATAAATATTTGCAAAGTGTTATCTCCTTGTCTGTTTCTATTCCAGATGCTCTCTATGATGTCATCACTGTGGGAGCCCCAGCTGCCCATTTTCAGGGATTTAAGAATGGTGGTCTGCGGAAACTACTCCATAGATTTGAAACAGAAAGAAGAAAGTAAGTAAAGACATGAGGAAAGCACGGGTTCCATTAATAGTATCTTCCATTTGGGGGTCTATATAGAAGGTTAGAATAAAGAAGATTGGTCCATGACAATATACAGTTCTTAACATCTCTAACCCATTTGGTAACATAAAGGTTTTTAATATCTCAGAACTACCAGAGAAGAAGTTAGAGTAAACAAATTGCCTAAGTGTGTTGCTTGTTGAGTAGCATTGTGATGGCAGAAAATTTTCCCAGAAGCCACACGACTAAGGGGTGATACTCTAGTGTCAGCTATTGCTTGCTCAAAGGAAGTGTTCAGAGATTTAGCTAGAGATAACAGTCTAACTTAACTGTAGAACCAAAGATACTGAATGGTGAATATGGCTCCTGATTTATGATTTTTAGCCTACTAGTAATTTCCATAGTGGCCGGAGGCACATTTAATTGTGCCACTTGAAAAAGACACATTCATATAGAAATCTATGTTCTGTTCCTTAGGGAAAAGGCATGACCCAAAAACTGGAGTATTACCACTATTATTTATAATTTTAATATACTGTTTTTCTAGTTTTGCTTTCGATGCTTTTAAATATTTCCTTATAAAGGTTTTGCAGCAGTAGTTTATTGTTCTCCTCCATGTCTCCTCCAATTAAGCTTACTTATCCTATAATATTCTCTGGCTATGACCACGCTCATGTGAAACGTGCAGCGCCTTGTCCAGGCCTGAAGAATAACTACTTTCCTTTTCAAATAGTTCCTCTTCTTAAGTTAAGAACTGCCCCCCGCCCCTGCTTTTTTTTTTTTTTTTTTTTTTTTTTACTTTTAGGTTCTAAGGGTACATGTGCAGGTTGGTTTTTTTTTTAATTTATTTTCCAGGGAAAATCGCAGGTCACAGGGTTTTGGTGTACAGGTTATTTTGCCACCCAGGTAATAAGCATAGTACCTAAGAGGTAGTTTTTCAATCCTCACCCTCCTCCCACCCTCCACCCTTCCACCCTTAAGTAGGCCCTGGTGTTTGTTGAAGAATCCAAATTTTGAAAGTTCAGGGAAAGTAGTCATTCTTTAGTCACAGTTGATTTAGTAATAGTATTAGGAAATCTATTTGAGTGGAAAAACCAGAAATTATTTTAAAGTTTTATCACATGTATCAAATAGAAATGTGTTTTTTGGTGCCCAGGTGTTTAGGGAGAAAGTATGTAAAGGAGGTTAGAATTGAATAATTGACTTATTATATAAATATATAAGCTACCAATGCATATATATTTTTCTTTTTCCTTTTTAAGAAATTGACTTTGTTACAATATTAACTCAGTTACAGTTCTTATTCTGATTTTTCAGGTTTTTTGTTTATTTTTGTTTGTTTGATTTTTGGTGGGGTAGGGCTTATAGTTTTATAAAATGATACTGCATGCATAGATTAGAGTAACCATCACTGTTATGAACATCATATAGAACTGTTTCATCACCACAAAAAACTCCCTCGGTTTACCCATTAATACTCACACCCATCTCACAAATATTATTGCAGTGGGGAGTGTAAGTCAAAGTTTCAACCATGGGCTCTGCAAGGGAGGGGCATCTCCTAGTAACTTTATGGGAGTTGGAAGTTAATTCAAGCCATAAGCCCCATGGGAAAGGGTTGCCTTTTCTACTGAAGTGGGGGTATGACTGGAAGACAGGTTTTTGCCCATGGAATCCGAGTGGGGATGGAGGGTGTTTGTTACTCATTCCCTACTGTACCATTCTCCTAGTGGGGGAGAGGCATGACATTTTTGTGGTATTCACCCCCAGAACAGGTTGATATGGCTGGGCCACCCTGTTCCAGGTTCTTTGGCTTTTCCTGGCTGCTATGTTTTTATTGGTGCTTTGGTGCATTAAGGAATTCTGTGACACCAGCTTGGGACATTGTAGGAGGCAAGAAAAATCCTGTGAAGCTCACTGCCATATCATTCCTTAAGTCCTGAGGACCCTAACCAATATACCTTCTTTAGTCTATCTTTAAGAGTCTTTTGATAGGTGACATACATGTTTTGTCTAGTGTGTTCCATTGTGATCAACAGGGGAAGTAAAATAGATTGCATTTAGTTCATCTTGTTTGGAACTATGTCTCAGCCTTGAGAGTTGACTTATTTCATTTTCTCAATTAAATTTTAAAGTATATAACCAGCTTAGAAGACTGAAAACTGCCTACAGCACAATTGGAATCCAGTTGTGCATATAAAGCATTAGTATGTGAAATATGGAACCTAACCCTATAATTTTATAAAACATATTTCTGTCAGAGACAACTGTTGAGTTCTATGTTACTCTAAATAATATTTCTTAAGTTTTAAATATTCACGTAAATATTTGAATCCTTCACTTTTCTTCATTTTTCAGTGGACTGTTACATATTTATACACACACACATGCACATGCACACACACACACACACTCACAAATCTTCAGTTAATTTTAACGTAAAAGTGTGTTCAATTCTTGCAAACACTGATTGCTCTAAATTTTTCATTTGTATTCTATATCCCATTGCTTTATTAATAAAATACAATGAAGATTTTAAAAGAAATAAAAAAGAACTTCGTGTGGATCTTCAAATAACTCTTTTTAGGGCAGTGGTATGGGACAAATACAGCTTGCTGAGGTGATATACTGGTGAGCGTGGTTATCAGCCTACCCATGAAATTAAGAGCTGCCCTGAGCAGAGATTTAGTGACTACAGAGTCATGGCACCATGCCAGTACTTTTTCTACAGGATTTTTCAGCAACAAATATTGCATTTGTCAGTCAACAGCAATGTATTGAAGTAAAAATGACTATATGAAACGAGTAATTTGGGCTTTAGGTTAAAGTAAAGAATTACATTTTGCAGGACATGAAATCACAAATAAGGAAATTTTTCTTTGCCTGTCACCCCCCCACGAAACAACAACCACAACAACAACAACCACAACAACAACACAGATAGCTAAGTCTTTTAGGCCAGTTTTTTTTGGAGCTACCACAGCCATTGTACTATTTAACCTCCATTTATTTTTTTTCTCAGCTAAGCTAATAAAATACTGTCATCTGAGAAAAGATATAATTTGTGTTTATGTCACTTGGTGATCTCTTTTGTGATGAATACATTGGCCACAGAGTGAAAAGGTTTTAGTGTAAGATAATATTGCTTATTGTGTGTATATAAAGTAATTCCGGTCATACAACCATATTTATTAAAAGTTACAATTAGGGAGATTGAACTTTTAAAGCACAGTATCTGAGTACCTTATTCTATTGCTTAGAAACTTTGAGGAGTCCATGCTTGTTCACTGGGCATTCAAAGCATCCATGATTTCATCTACCAGTGTCTACCCTTATCACCCATTTCTCCTATTGTTGTTTCTAAAATGTTGTATAAACTACTTACTAAATGGGCTTCATGTATTTCTACCTTTTCCTTTTTCCTCATTCTGTTTCCTTTTACAAGAAATTATTCTAGTATCCTCATTTTCTACTATTTTTTATTTCTTTCTATGAAAACCATTTACACAATCCTATTCGAAATTCCACACATGGTCCATGTGAAGATTTCACCCTTATAATTGGGCTTTCCTGATTTCTCAAGTTGATTTGACTCTCCTCTCTAATAGTTTATTTTTACTTCTCTTATAGCCTTACTAGGCCACAGTAAAGTATTAGGTTTCTTCTTGTGTGATGTTTCTGTGATGCACTGTGCTTTCCTTGAATAAGAGATGGAGCACCTTGTATGTATAAGTATTCTATAGATCCAATACAGCAGGCATTGGAATTCACATACAAATAGGATATAGTTGCTGTCTTAAAAGTGTGAAAACTAGAGTGGGAGAAAAAGCTTCACAAATAATCATAATGCAGTAAGATTAATAGTATAGAGAGCATGGTTACCAACCTTGGCTGCACGCTAGAATCACCTTTGGAGCTTTATAACTTTATTTATAACAGGGTATCTCCCCAGACAAATTAAGTCAATGCCTTTGGTAACGGGACCCAGGCACTGATATGTTTTTAAAGCTTCCCAGGTGAGCCTAATGTGTAGCTAGGACTGAGAACTACTGACATAGCTGTAAGTGAATAGTGCTATCGGAAGACAGACAGAAGGTTTGGAGAATGAAAACAGAAAGAGTTACACAGATGAGTTGAACTTGAAAACGATATAGAACTTCCATTGGTATGTATCAGGCAGAAAGGAAATATAAGTAAGAGAATATTTATTGAGCTAAAGTATTAAAACTCACTCACTGAGAATTTTTGTTTAGAGAATTTCAAACTCATTAGAGAGTTGCAAAATGGAACCAAATGTGAGAGTAAAGCTATAAGAATTTTGATCTTGGACAATCTGGGGTTGAGTAACATACAGACACATACAATTGGACATATCATAGAGGATTTCATACTGAAAACTTTATATCTTTCTAAGATAGCCAAAACTCTAATTACACATTTTTTAATAAACCCAAATCAGGATGTTTGTAACTTATGTATTATCTTGTAATATCAAACATCTACTTGTACCTAGTGTCCATTGATTTACTTCAATACTATGTGAAAGTTTGTGAATTTCTCCCTTAAAACATGAATCAAGTTTTTACTTTTAGTACTGTTTAAAAGACAAAAGTTTATTACTACAACATATATTTTCCTTTCTTTAAAATGTTTTCTTTCTTTCTTTTTTTTTTTTGAGATGGAGTCTTGCTAGGTTGCCCAGACTGGAGTGCAGTGGCACCATCTCTGTTCACTGCAACCTCCACCTCCTGGGTTCAAGTGATATTCCTGCCTCGGCTCCCAGGTAGCTGGGATTATAGGTGCACATCGCCATGCCCACCTAATATATATATATATATATTTTTTTTTTTTTTTTTTTTTTTTTTTTTTTGCCAAGACAGGGTTTCAACATATTGCCCAGGCTGGTCTTGAACTCCTGGGCTCAAGGGATCCTCACACCTTGGCCTTCCAAAGTGCTGGGATTCCAGGCATGAGCCACCACACCCACATAC